CTTTACAAACGGTACTCAAGACGGTATCCGAAACGGCCCAAGAGAGCTCCAAAGCGCCCAAGAAAGTCCCAAGACGGCTCAGGAGGCTCTCAAGAGGCCCCTCCAAGAGCACCCCAAAGAGGAGCCAAAGAGGCCAACATCTGCAAGGCACCCGGATATATCTTGTGGCCCCCGTTCTGATTTCCAGCGCTGCTTCACGACCGCGCCCAGGCCTCACAACATAGGTCTTGCATGCCCCATTCTCCGAGGGAAGGCGCCGGCTGCAGGAGGCGAAGGCCTTACGAATACATGCATATATGTGTGATGTATGCACATGTGGATTGTACAGTCTAGCTTTTACCACGTAGTCCATGCCACCTATATTGCACCACATGCGTTGCGCGAGATAAATTGCACCCCACAGCTCACACCGCACAGATCACACCTCATACACTTCCCTATAATTGATACGCATTCGCAATGCAGCATCTCACTTGCTGGGTCATTGCAGGCAAACATATTCCTTCTGGATTTCGGCAACACTAGGAGTATGCTCACACAGGTCTTCCCATCTTCAAGACGCTAGTCTTCTGGCCTGGGAGGCCAGGCAGGCCTGGCAGTGGGGCCCGCGGCGTGGGGGTAATTTTGGGGGGAGGCTTCGGGGGTCCACGGGGGGGGGCATGGCCGAGCCTGGGGCCCGCGGAGAAGGACTCCAAAGAGACACTGAGGGCACGCTTGGCCTCCAGGGAGTTTCCCGGGGGCCTCTTGGAAACTTCTGGGTGGCCCCCTTGGGCCTCCCGGGGGCCTTTGAGGAATTCTTGGAGGCCTCTTCGGCCGTCTGAGGCCGTTCCTGAGCCGTCTCAGGGCCCTCTTTGGGCGCTTCAGGGCCGGCCTGGAAGACGTATGGAGTGACTTGGAGGCCTCTTGGGCCGTCTCCAGGCTTTTGGGGCCGTCTGGGGAGATTGGGCCGTCACGGGGCCATCTTGAAGGCCTCGTTGGCGCTCTGGGAGCGATCTTTGGGGCCTCTTGGGCCGAGTTAGACCTTTGAAAGGCAGAACAAAGCAAATGCCCAAATCCCTGTTTATATTGAAGACCTAATGAAGATCAATGATTTTTGCCTCTGCGGGCCTTCCTGGATGATCCCTTGGAGGCCTCTTGGGCCGTCTTGAGGCTCTTGGGGCCGTCTGGGGAGATTGGGCCGTCACGGGGCCATCTTGAAAGCCTCGTTGGCGCTCTGGGAGCGATCTTTGGGGCCTCTTGGGCCGAGTTGGACCTTTGAAAGGCAAAACAAAGCAAATGCCCAAATCCTTGTTTACATTGAAGACCTAATGAAGATCAATGATTTTCGCCTCTGCGGGCCTTCCTGGATGATCCCTTGGAGGCCTCTTGGGCCGTCTTGAAGGCCTCTTGGGGGCCTCTTGGCCCGTCTTGAACTACCTTGAGGGCATCTTGGGTGCATCTTAGGCCGTCGCAAATGCATATTGGGGCCATCATGGGCTTTTTTGTTGGGCCATCTTGGCCGCCTTGGAAATATTGTTGGGGCCGTCTTGGGCCATCTTGGCCGTCTTGGAGGCCATCCTGGATTGGCAAAGGCATCGACCAGTAGATTTTGAGGAGCTCTCCCGGTGGGTGCTGGGCCGAAGCCCCAGGGGGAGTCTTGAAAAGATCCACAAACCACCATTACCTTCGCACACCACGCACCCCTGTGCTAAATCAACACGGGGCGGCGGATATAACACGACCTTCGGCCCAACCTGCCACCGAGGCTCTTGGATGTAAGTTGGGGTCGCTTGGAAAGGCCTGTTAAATGCCTCTTGCAAGCATATATGATCGCGGGCTCAGGGCCCACGGGCCCCCCCCCCAGATGGGATGGGTCCCAGAGTCCTCGGGCCCCCCCCCCCCAGATGGGATGGGGGGGGGAGGAGGAGGAGGAGGAGCAGGAGGAGGAGGAGAGGAGGAGGGGAGGAGGAGGAAAATGTGGAGGGAGGAGGAGGAGGAGGAGGAGGAGGAGGAGGAGTAGGAGAAGGAGGGCGGCGGAGACGGACGACGACGACGACGACGACGACGACGACGACGACGACGACGACACCGACAACGACGACGACGACATCGACGACGACGACGACAACGACGACGACGTCGACGGCATCACCAGCGGCGGCGGCGACCACGTCGAGCACCGGAGCTGTCAACATGACGCCAATCCCAGCAACACGCCGCACCCACACCGCACCCACGGGGGGGGAGGGAGGGGAGGAGGAGGACCATGGCGTCACCCCGCACACACCCACAGCAACACACCACACCCACACCACATCCACAGGGGGGAGGGAGGAGCCACCACGCCACACCCACGCCCACGGGGGCGGGGGGGGGCATCGCGCGGGGGGGGGGCCCGATGGTCTTAGCATTGGGGGGGGGGGCGCCCAAACCCTCGACCATAGGTTTGGCTTCTTGGGGGCCGCCCAGGGGCACCTTGGAGCCTTCGGAACCTATCGGGCGCCTCTTTGGGGCCTCTCGTGGGGGCCTCTTGGCGGTTTCGGAGGCAGGGCCATCAAAACGAGAAGGGCTCGACCTGTCAGTCCGTGCTCCCCCTCTCGGGCGCTTCTTGGAGCCGTCACAAAACACACGGCTTCGATTCGCAATTCCGCGAGAAAGGACCCAAACTCTCCAACATCAACCCTCGATGCCAGGAGAGGTTATGCTACATGCCCCGCAGGTCGCCCCTAGCGGAGGAGGGAGGAGGCGAGAGAGAAGGGCGACAACTCCTCATTCCCCCCCCCTTCCTCGCTCTCCCCACCTTCCCCCCCTCATCTGCCTCCTCCTCCTCCCTCCTGCCTCCTCCTCCCCCCTCCTGCCTCCTTTTCCTACGCCCCTGACTTCGCATGTTCCCATGCCGTGGGTTCCCGTGCCTGCGTTCTCCCTCTGTGTGTGTGCGTGTATTCTTCTTTGTCGTCCTCCGCCTCTCTTTGTCCATCATCCCTCCTTTCTCTCCCCCTCCTCCTCGTCCTCCTCCTCCTCCTCCTGCACCTGTTCCTGCTCCTCCTCCTCCTCCTCCTCCTGCTCCTCCTCCTCTTCCTCCTCCTCCTCCTCCTCATCCTCCTCCGCCCCCCGTCCCCCCTCTCCCCCGCCTGCCTCTCTCCCTACTCCGCCTCGTCCCTGCTCCCCCCCTTTCCCCTGGAGCTGAATGGCGCAGGCCAGCCAGGCCGCGCAAACGAGCACCGCCCAGGCCAAAGCGATCGTCGCGCACACACAGACAGACAGGCAGACCGACAGGCAGACAGACAGACAGACAGACAGACAGACAGACAGACAGACAAACAGACAGACAGACATACAGACAGACACACTTTTTGGTCGGCGGGTCGGGGGCGGGCCCCTTCCGGTCAAGAGCTAGGCGGGGCGCGCGAAGCCCTAATTGGGGAGACAGGGCGCGGACGGGCGGGGCCTCAGGCGGCCGGAGGGCTCAGAGTACAGGCGGTGCCGAAGATCTTGCAACAGACAGACACACACACACACGCAGAGACACACACACACACACACACACACGCAGACACACACACACACACACACACACGCAGACACAGACACAGACACAGACACGCACGCAAACACACAGACAGACAGACACACACGCTCACGCACGCACGCACAGACGCAGACACAGACACAGACACAAACACCGACACAGACACAGACAAAGACACAGACACCGACACAAACACCGACACAGACACAGACACAGACGCAGTCAAAGACACAGACACAGGCACAAACACAGACACACACACACACACAAACACACACACACAAACACACAAACACACACACACACACACACGCACACACACGCACAAGAACAGCCAGAACCACACACCTTTTACCCAGGCGGCCGAGCGAGGCTACTGCAGCGACAAACGACGCACACTTTCCTAAGCGGGCCGAAGTGCAGCGGACACACATGGTGCGGCCCACTGGAGCCACTGGCAAAGGCACCGAGCGAAGCAGGAAAAAAGGGCAGCGGCACCAGAACGGCCCCGCCCCGGTGCACTGAGACGCGCGGGCGCCCCTGGCCCAAGTTACCCCCAGCTTGTCGCTCCATTTGGAAGCCCCTGCAGGCACTCTGTGCCTTGTGCGCAAGTGTTCTGGAGGTCCTGAGGGCAGCCTTGGACATCCTAGGGGGGGCCCTTGGGCGAGGGGGCACTTCTAGCAGCACCCGAGCAGACTAGCTGCTCGGCAGCGTGGCGCGGGGCGTCGCGCAGGAGAAGTCTGGCAGGCAAGCGGGCAAGACTGCAGCGGGGCAAAAAGACACTCACACACACACACACACACACACGCACAAAAACACACATATACATATGCACACATATATATATATATATATAGATCTATATATACACACACGCTTGGCGTAGCGGCCCTGCGCGCAGCGACAGGGCGGATAACATAGACACACACACACACACACACACACACACTCATAAACGTGCACACGCAAACACGCGCGCACACACTTCTTACTCCGCGTGGCCGTCTGGTCCAACTCAGAAAGGGCGTTAGTGGATCACGCTAGCTGATTACCGCCGAGCGTGTGCCTGTGTGGGGCAGCCAAGTCTGCCAAAGGGTGGCTGCGTGTGAAAAAATGATGCACGACAGTCAAACACATGCCGCGACGCCGGCAACTCATGCGCGCGCACAAGCACAGACACAACCGCAAACACACACACACACACGCAGAAACACACACATGCACACACGCACACGCGCACACACGCACACGCACACGCACACACGCACGCACGCACCACCCCCCAACCCCCCTCCTCCGTCCCCGCCTCCTCCCTCCTCCTCCCTCCCTGAACCCCCTCCCCCCCCTCCCCGGGAGCCTGTACTTCATGCCCGCCGAGGCGGTGCCCCGCGGACCCGGCACAGCCCGGGGCCCGGCAGGCCAGATCTGGAGCCCCCCCTCTTCCTGGCGGGTCGGGGCACGGCGGGCCCTCGAGCGGTCAGAGCCACAATGGCTGCACGAGGAGGGCGGGCCAGCGACGCGGGAAGCCAGGCAGCCGTGGGCATCGGCTAGCCGGTCCCCATCCCCAGCGGCGTGGCCCGGGCCCGACTGGCCGATTCACCCCTCTAGAGGGGGGTATATAGGTCGCTCCCTTCGGGTTCCGAGGGGTGTATCCCCGACTGGGGTGGTAAGTTGGTGGGGTCTCGAGGGAGATGGGGACGTGGATCGGCATTGGTAAAACGATATGGGGCCGAGAACGTGCGATCCCGAGTCGGTTCTGACGGAGTCAGCATCCGATGAGAAGATCGGGTCGGCTCGAAGCGCGCGTCGGATCGCGCCGCTCCGGCACGGAACAGGGAGCGGACAGAACCGGCCGCACCAGGATAACCAGCCTCGAACGTACCCCTATCCCTAAGATGGGCGAGCAAAAAGCGAGGACAATCTTAGGGATAGGCCCTCAGAAACGGAGGGAATCCTTAAGATCGGCATCGAGGTGAGGTGATGCCAAACATAGGGATAGGGATATGTTTCAAACTGGTAACAAGATGAACAACAGCGCAGAGCAAGCCTCGGGCCGCCTTGGATCGCCGGAGTGTCGGGATCACATCGGATCGGGCTGGCCAGAATCGCTATCGAATCGGATCGGTCGGCTCGAGATGGGAAAAATGGACCCTGGAGGGAGAAACCCGTAGCTCCGATGATGCTGGTTGCTCCAATCCCGTCGCTTCTCCCCTCAGGCTCGGCTTATAGGTGTCGTTTGAGGGACCTCGGGGCCATCAACCATGGATCCCGGGCGGCAAAAGTTGCCCACCGGGGTTGGGCCTGCAGTCTTAGAGCCCTGGGGGGCGGCGGACTGCAGAGTACACCTCTTCGGACTGCCTTGGGGCAGGGGGGGGGGAAAGGAGGGAGGGAGGGGGGCAGCAGAGGGGCCAGGTCTAGGAACTATATACGGGAGGAGGGTGGAGGAAGAGAGGCGAGAGGGAGGCCTATGAGGGAGGAGGGGGATGAGGAGGAAAGGGAGAAGGAGGAGAAGGAGGATGAGGACTGTGAGGAGGACTGTGAGGACGGAGGAGGGGGAGGGACTATGAGGGCGAATAGGAGTGACTATGATAGGGCGAGAGGGAGGAGAAGGAGGAGGAGGAGGAGGAGGACGACGAGGAGGAGGAGGAGGAAGAGGACGAGGAGGGGGAGGCGGAAGAGGAGGAGGAGGAGGAGGGAAGAGGAGGAAGATGAGGAGGAGGAGTTATGATGATGGAGGACGGAGAAGGAGGGCGCGTAGCATGGTGAGCTTAGTGAACAACGCAGCAAGACAATCAGCGTTCCGCAGGGCGGGAAGCTTGAGAAGGCGGACGCCTCTTCAATCATGACCTCGCGAGGGAGGCAGTCGTGGATGAGGTGGCACATCGCGGCGAGACGTCCGAGGAGCACGGCAGGGTTGCAGGGCATCTCGGTCGATGTCAGGATCGGGCGGGAACATCGGGCGAGCTCCTTGGGCAGGAGAGCGCCCCCTCGCCGCCGCCGCCGCGGGCCCAGCGCCAAACACAGGGTGGCTAGCGCACTCGGTGTACTCATCCCGCTCAGCTGCCGAGACAACACCGTCAACCTGTCTGCAATCAGTCGGCTTCGTGCGCGGCTCGATCCGCACAGGGCCGCCCGTGATGCCGAAGGAGGGCCACGACGCTGAGGTAGAGCGACAAGCAACCTGCGAAGACGTGTCCGTTCTAGCTTCGAGGCAATTTCGGCCATCGAGATGTTCGAACATGCAATCAAAACGACGGCAGCCCCTTGCCATAGCTGCGCAACCTCCGGACGGCACTGGACGTAGCTGCCTCGGGCGGTGGCGCAGTCTCCGACGGACGCTCGCCGAAGGGCGTTCCAGAGGAGCGCCCACGACCGACAACGTCGCAAGAGAACTCATACTTTGACACAGGCATCGCATCCAGCTCCACGGCCCGCCCACCAAGGGCATCAATGTTCGAACGCAGTTTGCCCAACAAAGAATCAAAAGATAGGGCGACGTCCGAATCTGCTGGGCCAGCCGTTGGCCAAGGCTTTCAACGAGAGAATCAATAGTTGTTGCCACAGCCGATTGCACATCAGAGCCACCAACATCAGATAGAAGTCCTGGTACAACATTCCGAGAAGAGGCCGACATGGAACGCATGATCTTCTGAGGGGTAGACATGCTGTCACAGATCCGCTGCAGGCGGCCCCCCGATCTCGCAAAAACGGGGCTCTCTACCCGCACTGCCCGTACTCGCGTTGTCAGGAACAGCGGAATCGGGCCCCTCCGACTGGTCACCGGCACGCGAGGAAGGAACAGCCTCGAGCCTGCCTTTGAGCATCGCGATGGTGCCGTGCATGTCCTCCACGGGAGAACGCTAGGACGCCAGCTGGCCGTCATATATGTGCTGCGCAGCCTAAAGCAGCCTGGGGACAGAAAGGTTGGATGCTGGAGGCGCTGTAACGGGCGTGAGCACACGCGCCGACGAATTCAAAGTGAACGCAGCCTCCCCCCCTCCAACGTCGAGATGCATAGCGAGGCGTGCGCGCAGTAGAACAGCAAACCTCATGATCGGGATCCGCACGTTGGAGATCATATTCAAAGTCAGTGAGAAAACAGTCAGCCCACAGGGCCGTGAAATGTCGCAGCACCGGCCCAGTGACCCCCAGCTGTCGGATACAGCGCCACGTAGACGATGAGAGAACCTGTCGCTGACCATCGGCAGCCATTTGTAAGCTAAAACAATGCTGGGCCGAGTGCTGAGAAATTCGCCCCAGAGGGTGGCCATTGAAACAAGACAAAAACACATTAACATCAACTGTCGCAAGAGGATGCAGGACAATCAACTGTAAACAAAAGTAGAGCTAGCCGAAATGTGCCACAACAGCTACGGATGGAGGGGGGAAGAGGAGACGGATCATGAAGGAAGGAAGGGACGGGAGTGATGATGCGACTCGCGGATTTACTAGGTGCGTGTTCGATGGTGCGATGGCGGGCGGCGCTCGAGCCGAATGGGGTGCGAGCCCGAAGGGGCACATATCAATGACGCTAGAAAGGCAGGAATCACAGTCGCAGTAGGCTGGGCGTTACTAGAGACCAGTGCAGCCTCGAGAAGAGCGCACAGGAGGCGGCAAGCGCTTCAAAAGGAAGCATGCTGAGAGAACGCCAGAGCGAATGCTCACACGCACGATGCGCGACCAAGGACCGGACCTCGAGCTCCGGGAGACCCAATGGAAGCGCAGAAGGAGGGCGACTGGGGATGGCCCACGAAGAGGAAGCCTGCTTGAAAGGCGCGTCGAGCACGCGACGCGCAGGGGCCAGGCTGCCCTGAGAGCGCTGGCGCCAGCCAGGTGAAGCAGCGCATCCAAACCGTCGCACAACGCAAATTCCAAGGGGGAGGTGGCCTGCCTCGGGCAGATCCAAGGCGATGGTGAGGCCCGGAGGGGAAGCAGGCGGGTCTGCGCCCCTGCATGAAAGGCAGGGCTGGGCTGCAGAGGTGACGAATGCACCGTGTGTACCAGCGCGCATTCGCATGGCAAGTGACGAGACATGGACGAGTGCGCTGACGAATGCTCACGATGGCACTGCCTGGCTGAAGGAACGGGTCCGGCCACAAGAACAGGACTGAAGACTGCATACAACAATGGCGCAACAGTGTCGGAGCGCCTGGCGCGGGTTGGACGTGAAGAGGGGGCAGCCAATGAGAAGCGAGCCTTGACGGACCTGCATCACGCAAGATTGCTACTGCAATCCAGCGCGATGACCGTGAACGCCAACTGTGCGAGCGCAGGCTGGCACACAGCAGCAGGGAGGTCCACGGGCTCAGCTGCCTGCCCGTCTCTGGCAGAGTGTCCAGACACTCCGAGGCTCTGCGGTCGAAGTGAGAAATGTAAGCATCCTTCCTTTCTGCAGGAGGATCCTCAATACAGCGCGCACGGCGCCTGAACCCGCTTCAAGCCATGCACATCGTAGCACTACGCCAGCGTCAATCGTGTGAGATGCGCTGGCAGAAATGGCAAGTTCGAGGCCTCATGGGGGCGCATCTGAGACTCTGGAACCACCCACTGTTCGCACGGTTAGCGGGCCAAGACCTCTTCTTGGACGATTTGCAAGTAGGAGGCTGCGCAGCGCTAAAACACTCACTCTCGTTCCGCTGCGGCTGATGAGCAGGGGCCAGGGAAGCATCACGAACGGACATTGGACGCCTCTCATGCTCTGGCAGCGCGTCGTATCTCACAGAATTCTCGTGGGAAGGTCGAGCCGCTCTAGCCTAGAGATATACATGGATGTCTCCGTCTGGCAGCCCCTGGTGAGCCATCGCGTTTGCAACGTGCTGCTCTGACATCCAATGCTCTCCTAGCGGGGAAGAGGCAGCGCGCTCCTTTATAGAACGTACGGGCTCTACATGGGCATAGCTACTAGACTGCGCAGCCTGCATGTCTAGCTGCTCTTGCTCCATCTCAGCTGCGCCAGCCCTGATGGCGCGAGTGTCGGCTCCACTCAGAGACCCAGGGGATCTCTGGAGCGCGAGCGGGGGCGAACCATTGGGACTAGAGCAACAAGAGGCCGAGAACAAAGGCACTGACGAAGCTGATCGTCAGAGCTGGTTTCTCTGCTGTCTGAACTGCCTGCCGATCGAGTCTTCAGAGCACGGCGCCTGGCAACGACCTCTCCAGAAGAGCGGGGCGTAGCCGGCGGAGTCGATATGAGGCGCCTCCTTGAGGCCGGCAGGGGAACGTCTCCTTCAACAGTAATATGATTATCGTGGGCAGCACGAGCCTTGTCAGAGGCAGACGTAAACCAACTCCAACGGTTGAGAGGATGTACGGCAGGTGGTCTCTCTGCTACGGAGGCTTTGGCCGTGGAGCCCTCGGAATCGAAGCCGCTGAGCGGCATCAGCGGCGCAGGCGACGAAGCAGCAGATCCGTCTCTGGGGGCAAGTGCACTGTGCCCATCAAGCGGAAGAGGTCGACGCACGAGCGGAACATGCAGAGTATGCTGTCCTTCTGCA